CGAGGTCGAGGTCGGGGTCGGATATTACAAAACCAGCCCCATCCCCGCCCCCATGCCTAGTTGCAAGAAGCATTTCTAACATTTGGTTTATCAAATTCACAAGAAGTAACTCTTAAGTATGAGCTCCATAAACACAATCTCATAAGTGTTTCGTGTAACAATTGTAGCATGAAAACTGTAATTCCAATGTCAGCCTTCTTCAAACATATTATTTAAGGAAATTTACCAAAATATCCATGTAGGGAAAATAAATAAGATTGAAAAAATAGATAATTTTCAGGGTTTATAAAGAAATAAGAGGTGAATCTTGTTTGGTAAAAGAAATCTGCCTTTTAATTGTTCTAAAATCTTCTAAATGATTTTGCATCATTGACCTCCCTTAACCATTTAGCGCCCTAATTTCATCATAAACAATTATCAAACAATTATATTTTATTTTGCACTATATCATGAGAGCCTCTTAATCATTCGGGCCACTTAATCATCCTGCACCAAACCATTCAGTAACTACCAAATAGCCTCTTATTTAATTTATTTTTCATCGCATTAGTGGGGTAATTTTGAAGGAAAAAAATCAATACCTCTTGCTCTAAGAAAAACTAGGGTGGCATTTGTTTTTTTTAAAAGGTTTTAAAGTCTTAAGTCTTATTTCATTTCTGATTTATAAGAGGTGGTGCCGAGGTCTGAATCTGAATCAATAAGATTGTTTATTTTTGTAAACTGATAAACATTTGAATTTGTTTAGATTGACTATTTTCCCATTAAAAAGCTATAGTGTTGAATTTATAGATAAACTTGTACAATTTCACATATTTATTCATTCTCATCATGAAATTTCATATAAATTGTAGAATTAACATTCATTTAATTGAAGATGTCATTAACAGTATTTAACACATTTAAATCCTATTAAAATTCATCAATTGAGAGAGGCGAAGAGTGTTTTGGTAAGGATAGATTAAGGTTAATCGATTGAGAAACACCGTTGTTGAAGGTTTGAAGAATAATAAGAGGCAAATAAGATGTTGGTTTACCTCTTACTAGATAAAAGAACAATAAGACATAAATGCCTCTAAAAAATTGAAAAAAAAACAAACAGTTTGAATGACCCTATCTCTTAATGAATCGGGTATAAGATGCTGATAATAGTTTTTTTTTTAAACCAAACAAAGCCTAAATAAAATATGGCATATTTTTATTCAACTTCTATTGTAAGAGACATACATTATAAAATCACACTTAAGGATTTATAGGCTAGGGACAGGATTAAATAAGAAAACAGACAACTTAAGAAAATACGAGCAACGATCTAAATCTCCCACTTTATCAATTCTTATAGTTGTGTTTAACATCTTTTTTTTTTTTTTTTGATTAACCTGGATATCCAACTCCCTATGCGAGCCAACTAATCCCAGGGTAACCATCTGCTTTGCGGGTAGCCTAGAATCACCTCATTTGAACCTCCATGACCACAAGAAGATTTTTATTCCTCCTTGAAATTGAACCAGCCCAAGCTCAAACCAATCAGATCATATGGATATCTTGACACCCTTGTTTTCTCATTTTCGAATGACTGTCCCATTCCATTTTTGGTATAACTTCAAGCTTGGACCCGCTATACGATGTATTAGTAGAACCCCTRGGATACGACGCCCTGCTCCTTGAGTATCATGGGATTGAATACTCCGACCTCCCAGAGACTCCCGAGAAAGCTATTTAAGCCTTCTGGACAGTTAAGGGCAATTACTAAGCTAAGAAAGGTGCTTGTTGAGTAAGGCCGGCTTCCGAACCCACTGGTTAATGGTTAACATCTTAAGATTGAGCTAACAAGAGCATTGAGGGAATTTGTATTTTCAGAATCATCTAATTAAATATTTAAATCTCTTAAAAGAATCATTATATCTTTAATTACATTCAATTATTTTTTGATGACTTATCAAACCAATATTTTATTTTCAACAATTTTTTTCTTAGATCTTTTTCACAATTTCTTTAGATCCATGATATCTACAATGATCCACTTAAAGAACCCACATAACAGACTAATCACATGTGATTAGCAACACAACAAACCATAATCATGTGTATTACATAAAAATATCGTTTGTGATTCACAACAAAAAAACAACCGTCACTTGTGATTACCATACAAGAATCAACCCATCAAAAACGGATATTGAAATTTTAGATCAAATCAAATGCAATGTCAAGGGAATGATTGGACAATTGGTTTATATAAATCCGTCCTGGTTCAGACCACATCCGTAAAGTCGTAAGACCATGTATGGGGGCTGACGCCTGCCCAGTGTCAGAAGGTCAACCCGCTATTAAAGATATGATAGAAATAAATAATAGAAAAAAAGCTCTCCAAAATCCCGTCCTGCTCTGCAATTTTGGCCCCATTTTTCCATAGAAATATATTCGTTCAAGAAAGGCTCCAGAAGGGTAGGGATGGTTATATTTCTGGGAGCAAACTCCCGGAGTCCCGGTCCAGTTACAATCAAATATCAAATTATGATTGTTCGATTCTGATTCGATTCGTCGGATTCTAATTGGATCGGATGACTTTTTATTTTAGAGTAGTCTGTATTTTTACCATTGGGTGGTCTAATTTATGCTTCTACTAAAACTTAGTAGTCTCTTTTAACTGTTTAGGCATTACTCTTTATATTCGGCACCGAACTATTTATTCATTTATACATTTTTTGTAATTATGGGTGACCAAACCATCTTGCATACATCTCGACTAATCTCACAAGGCCCTAAAGTTAAAAGCTAGTATAGTAAACGGTATACGAATGAAAACGATATAAGATTGTGAATTAGCTCACATTCACCTCAATGATCAAGTGATTCGAGCCCTAAGTGTAGCCTTTGACCATCAAAAGTACGATGAAGCCCTTTTTCAAATTTCACAACTCGAAAAATAAGGTGAGAAAACTTTTGCGCATAACAAGGTCAATGATGTTAGCTACAAAGATCGAGATAATCGAGTTTACCAGATTTCAAGCTAAGGTGCCAATCCCGCAACAGCATTGTAGGCAAATCATAGTTGTTTCATGAACGCAGATGAAGGAACTTTTTTTTGGACATTTGATTTTCGTTTGTCCATGAGCAAAATTATGAAGAAACTGTAGGAGATGCTCTTAGGTCTGAATCGATAAACTAAAATGAATCATACTAGCAGATGTTTCTGTGAATAACCCATAAACTGCCTACTCCCCTCTGCCCAATGGTAACCACGGGTCTAGCTTAATGAGTCACAGCTTATCCAATCAGCTATGCATGACTGTCTGGTAGTGGCTTAATGATATAGAGAGTGGTTTATTCAGTAAGCTTCTAGGGGGAGCTTTATGCAAAAAGCAAGTTTTTTTAAACCTATCGCTCCCACTAAAAGAACACGTTTTTTTATCAAACAAAAACTTTTTCAATCTATACAGACAGATTAATCCACAAAGACAACTTTATCCATACAGGTATTTATGGAAAACCAACCAAACAACCCCTACATGTCCCAAAAATCTAGTCTGCTACTCTAATCTTCCGTCTCCAAGTACTCCTACCAGAGGCCACGTCCTCGGAAAGTGATCTAATTGATGCTCCTAAGAGGGATCCACAGAATGGGAATTTCAAGTGACCTAATTGAGAAGGTAGAAAAAACATCTAGATCCTATTATCCTTCTCTCTAAACTACACCAGGCCCAAAGGAAACACAACGAGACAAATCTAGTTCATAGTTCTAGATTATTTTTTGTTAACCATGGGTGTCCAGGCCAGCTTACACGCACCTTGACTAACCCCAGGGGCCTGGAGAACAGCCGGGAAAATCTCCAGTAGCCTTTCAGGATTTGAACCGGTGACCTCCAAGGAGGATTCCCAAAGGCCCAAGTCTTATTGCCATTTGAGCCATTTTAATAAATAGAATGATAGCATTTTTCAATCTCATATTGATAAACCAAATCAAACCAACTCGGTAAATCCCAATTCAAAGTACTGGTGAAGGTGAGATATATGCAAACCTCACCTCTACCCCAAAAAAGGACCCCAAAAAAGTAGAGTGGTTGTTACCGTGATAACCCCTCACTCGTGCAAAAGTTTGAGCAGAGAAGCAACTTCTTGGACAAGTTTTATTGAGCACAATTCATGTGTACTCTTATGTTCATTCTCGACAAGAAAAGTAAGCAAGTTTTATTCTTTCTATTTTGCACACTTTGCACAAGTAGGGGTTTTCACGGAAATGGCTCTACTATTTTGAGGTAGAGGTCAAGTCTGCAAAGATCCCACCCCTCAAGACCTCACCTCCGGGTGGGATATACTCATATCATTTGGTTTGGTTTATAACACAATTGGCATGTACAGACGATGATTAGTTGAATGTTCACTATAATGCTTACAACAACAAGAACAACAAATTTGAAATATTAGAGCTAATAAACATTGCAATTAGAAGCATAAAAACAGCAACAAGATAACATACCTTTGTTTTGCATAAAGCCTGAATACGGTGTAGCACTTCTATCACGTATCTGTGATTCTTCATGCGCGTCCAAGTCCCAGGTCCCTGCAAAAGAGCACTGCACTACCGGGTCCTTTGGTTAAATGACCATCTGAAAGCATTTTTTTTAATCCATGACCTTTTGAGAATGCTATTTCTTAACAAAAGAATGCCTAAAAACCTGTCAAAAGGCCATAGATTTAAAAAAGCACATGTCAAGAGGTCATTTAGCTAAATAACCCCGTAACAACCACACTCGAAAGATAACTCTTTATTTCTTCATATGACAAAAAAAAATCCATTTTATAAGTGTTATTTCAAGACTAGATGATTGAGAAGTGACTACGATACAACAAAATTTGTTATCGACCCTATTGATTCTATGCTCGGGAATATAACTACAAAGGTTACCCTCCATACACTATGAACTATATTTCCATCAAAATTTGAAGTAAAAGAAGGTAGCAAAGGTGAATAAAAGCAACAGAAATTGCTAAACGAAAATGCTAGTAATAAAAAGATACCATTTCAACATAACTGAAGCAGAACAGGACCAACTGAAGAACTAAGCATTGCACTAAGGGCTACCTGGACCTCATTGGACCCATGCTCACATCTTATCAAGCTTGAAAGCAGAGGTAAAAAGCGAGCGAGATTCTTCCCAAATGAAGAATCTCCCAAACTACATATAGCCTGTAGAGTAGTGACAATAAGGGGGCCACGAGCCGCCAATTCTCTCTTTTTCCCCGAGCCTAAAGGTATCAACCAATGGGGGTGTCCGTTGGGAGACAATTGAGTCATATGTGGAGGGCGTGCGATTTCAACATAGAATTTCAACACTTGATGACAAAGGTCAATAAGGTAAAATTCGACTTCTGATTCCTCATCAAATGGAGGCCGATTGTCAGCAAGATTCTGTACAAGTGTGAGGCAGATTTGATAGGACTCGGTTTCAAGGCGCAATAATGGAGGATCCTGCATTTGCGTCATGGGTCCGAGCTCTTGTAGCTTAGAGCGTAATGCGACATCAGTATTTATCTTGTGGGCATGATCTGCCACCCCACGCACTGCATCAAAAAGAACAATGGTGTTCTTTACTGATAAATGAGGTCTATACAAGTTGTGGATCTCGGAAATTGCCTGTCATATTTACAAACAAGACTACAATTACTTTGATTGTACTTATCAATCAACATTCAGCATGATCCTACAGAGTAAGAACATAGGAAACAGGGAGTGATGTAGTAGTATGAATAATAACTTTAGGTCTTCATACAGAAATTTAAATAAGATTTTTCGCTGGAGTAAATTACAATACAAAAGATTTTTCTAAATGTCCAAAACAAAAAAAGGCACACAGTTTTAGGAATTTGTAACCACTGTACTTTTTGATTAAGTAAATGACAATTTTATCCTTAATGATAAGGGGGTAAGGAATATCTCATCTTATAATTAAGGATAGAATTGAAAAACAGACACTTAATTTTAAAAGAGAAACACTAATTTTCGGACAACCTAAAATAGAAAATGGACACTTATTTTGGGAGGGAGTAGTAAGCAAATAGGATGAAGTGTTGCAGTCAGTGTTCTAAAAATCCTAATTTAGGGGCCGCTTACTGAACATTTACCCGGTAAGCGCTTACAATATCACTTACCTTACAATTGAGCATGGAAAATCAAGAATCTTACCCGGTAAGAGGCATAGGAAGAACCGAGTCTTACCTGGTAAGTGAAGGAAAAGACTCTTACCCGGTAAGAGATTATTGGGTTTAAGATGCTTACCAACAATCCATTTTAATGGTCGAGAATGTTACACGATAAGGTAAGTGAGTGTGATGTCTCATGCCGGTAAGCGCTTACCGGGTAAGCACTTGGTAAACGACCACTAAGTTTCCACTTGATAGGCTGCCTAGGCATTAAGGTTTCCCAATGTATCAATTACTTAGCGCTGCTTAATTGTTCGCCTGAGCTTTATGCATTACGCACTGCTTTTTAGCAACTAATTGCTGAATTACGTGCAAAAAGTCAAGCTGGAACTAATTGCGTTTTCTCTACTCAGAGGCAATTTTTCCAATCCTTCTCAGGTAACTTTATCAATGGAACAATGAAATCAATAATTTAAAGAAGTAATAGATTTTAAATTTTATATATTTATGAAATCCAAGAATAGTTTATTTTATATATTTAAATGCATCAAGTTACACGATGGCTCGACCTCCTAACTCTGCATAATGCTCATTAAAAGATTGGTTGCAGTGAAACCAATTTGCTATTTAAGCTGACCTCAAAAGCATTTACAAGAGACCAAACAACAAATATAAAAGAGCACCCAAAAAGTAAAATAACCATAAAGATTATGTAAATCCCGAGAATTGATGTGTAAATCCCATGAATCAAGAGATCGATTTACTTGAATCAATGGGGTGATTGCTTCCTATACACATGCATCAGAGGGCGGTTCAGGGGAAAACCCAAAAAAAATGAAAAATTGAGGAACACTCAGATAACCTTTCATCTGGACATGTAATTGAAGTTGTTTCTTGGTTTTTATGCACGCATGCATGTTATGCACATGTGCATACCGGACAAATTACTTGTACGCACATGTGCATACCGGCCAAATTGTTTACAGATTACTTGTACGCACATGTGCATACTGTCTAGATGTACAGTTACCAAGGTATTCCTCAATTTTTCATTTTTTACGGTTTTCCCCGGAACCTAACCCATAGGCATCAAATGCTTATATCTTGTAAGGTCTTATGCATAATGAAATCAAGAGAAATATTTTCAGTCTAATAATACGTAGTTTAATTACCTGTATCAATAAAAGTTGAACAGCAGTGCGACATTTGATGTCAGAAATGGCAGCATATAAACAGACCCTCTGCTGCTTCTCTGAATCTTCCTGCTGCATATCAGACTCGGCAGATTCCACATTACTTCTTGGTGTTGAAAAATCTTCATGGTTCATAGAACTAACATCTTTATAAAGGATAAATGAGAAATCAGGAAGTGTTGCATTAGCAGCTTCCTTCAGAGATAAAACCACTTCCAGCCACTTATCATCAGAAAACATCCCTCCAGCATTGCTCATCAAACGAACAAATGCAGCAACACCAATACCAGCAAGGCTTTGATGAGGACGCTTAATGAAATCTACTAGTAATGTCAGCACCTTCTTCAAAAGCGGATTAACAGTACCATAGAAATTAACAAATATATCCACTACCAACTGGAGTGAAAGTGTGCACGTCTCATAGAGCCAAGAGTCTTGATCAAGTTCATCATCACCATCAACCTCCCAGTTGGACGAATTATCACCCGAAGGATCAATAGCTTGTCGAACATGATCAAAGATTGGAAATAAGACGGTATCAAAAACTCCTTCCCACAACGACAGAGAGAAGTGATGACCATGGTTCCTTAATGTATCAAAAAGTACTTGAAGAGCACTCTTCCTAATTTCAGGCCTTGGGTCAAAGCTAAGATCAGACAGCCCTGAGAAATTAAAACATTTATAAGACTAAGAACATGAATTACACATGTTGGAAGATGCAGTATGGGAAAAGGTATTCCATGTCAGTGACCAAAGGTCTATTAATCTCACTTCTTTTTTTCCTTTTTCGGTGTGATTATGAGCATGCATAATATGCACTAACTAACATGTTCTACAAATTGTAAAAGATGGATTCAATATTCTGAACCATTATATCTGGCTTTCCATTGCAAACTAATCATTGTCGTTCAGAAAATGCCAAAAGAACAACTAGTTTGCTAAAATGAATTATTTTGGACAAACAGTGATAAATGCAAAAAAGACCATCGTACTTAAAACACTTGTTATCAAAGATTGCCCAATCTTACAAAGTGTACTGTTATGTTTTTCTTCTTTTTCTTATTTCATTTTTGCAAAAGTGATGATTGTTAACAAAAAGCCAGGCACAATGTTTAGTAACATCAATAAATCATGTAAACGATGAGTTTGGTAGTGAATTTTGGTGGCTGCCATAGACTTTACCCTCACAGAAAAATGATGAGCTCTGAAACATCGACATAAAGTTCATAAGATCAAAGTAAATATAGTTCCTTACCAGTTAATAACGGAAACCAGAAGCACAGATGGTGTTCCTTATTTGCCAACTCTTTGTTCTCATATTTCCTGTCGTTTCCTCGATGTGGAGACCGCAAAATTTCAGAACCCTCTTTCTCTTTATTCCTTGAAGAACCTATATCTCCTTCTGCTAGTTTTGCAGCGCATAAACCCAAGAATCCAATAGCACCGAGACTAATATCTTTGTTGGATCTACTATTGGTGAATGCAATCAGACAATTTACACAATCAGTAAAAGCGGTGGTTTCTGTCTCAGTTATATATGGGAAATAATCTCGCACTATCTTCTCAATTATTTCGAAGGCAAGAAGTACAATATTTTTGTGGTTGTCATAAGCTGCTGTTGTGAAGACCTGGTAAATGTTACCACAGTTAGAACTAAAATTTAAACAATATATGGATTAGAAAAGTACTTGCTTTTTTTGTTGCAAACAAACCATCGTTCTTGTGAAAAAGCAACAAAAAACTACCTTTGCAAGATGCACTATTTTGGACAGAAAGTGTCAATTATCGATGCCTTTTTGCATTTACATTTCCAGAATGTCCAAAATCACCCATTATTTTAAACTATAGCGCCATTCTTTTGCATTTTTGCAAGAGCGATGGTTACCTTGTAACAAAAAGTCAAGTACGATGGTTCAAAAGAATCACTCGTAAGAAATATATACAGAACCAGAATCACAAATATAATCTACATTTAGACTGTTGATCAAAATATACTGAAACTGGTGTGGATTAACACACGTGGCAAAAGAGAGAAGTTTCAGTACCATGAACATGCTTTTCCATCCTGACTTGACATTATTGACACGCGATAAAACCATATGAGAGACACATCTGATTATTAATTCTCTGATCTCCACAGCACTAGTTTTGCGCATGGCAATCACAAAAGGTTTCATGAAGTCATTCTGGAAGTTATAGTTAGCCAACTCTTCCCTCTCCAAAAACTTCATAGACAGTTGTCTTAAGGAATCCATTGCAAATATCGCAATTGACAGGTTCTCAGAACAGCCTATGGTCACAAAGAAGTCAGAGAGTACGTTCCAGATGCTTGTCCAAACAAGCCGGATACGGTCCATGTTATAGTGCCTAAAAGAGGATATAGAAAAAGGTAGCATATGATTAAACCCTGTGCGAGGACAGCAATGTACATAAATACTCCCTCCATCCCAAAATAAATGTCCAAAAATGAAAAACGTTAGAAATGTGTGACTATCACACTTGTAATTAACTAACTAACAAATTTAACCTTAATAATAGAGGGAGTAATGAATTTCTACATCTAATAATTAACGACAAGAATTGGAAAGTAGGCACTTACTTTTGAAAATTGAGACGTACAATGGGACAAACTAAAATAGAAATGTGGACACTTATTTTGGGACAGAGGGAGCAGAAATGTAACTGGAGTAGCTAAATAAGCAAGACAAAAGAGTCGGAATCATACGCAATTTCAACTATTTTTGTTAGACTGAAAACTCGTGGGTCAGATGTAGATCGTAACTCCCCCATAGAGACTTTGCAAAGTGCTTTCACAAAGTCAACTATCGCCTCACTGTTAAGATTCTGACTCCTTGCGAATATACGATTCATTTCACCAACTTGTTCCAACATATTCAAGTTAGACACCAAATTATACGCTTGTTCTGATGTAATCCCAGCAGAAGCACTGCCACCAATGTTAGAACTATCATATGAACCTCTTCTCATTGCTGCAGCTGCCTGCTGAATTCGGCCATCCCCTTTTCTCTTAAGAACCGGAAGAACATTTGATTTCGCCTGTTTCGATTTACCAGATTCGTTCTGATTACGAGCAAAGAAAGTAGCATCTGGAGGAGCTCCCTCCCTTAATAGATGCAAATGCTCAAACCGAGAGACACACGTTAGAATATGCTCCCATGCCTCCTGCAAGTAATTCCCATCTTCATCAGCGATTGTAACCATCACCTGTGAAAAAAAGGTGATTAATAGGAATATCTACCCATTAGAAAATTAAGAATAACTGTTTCGAGAGAAAAGGCAATTCTCATTGTAGTGAGTATGCATAATGACGAGAAGAACAAGCCATTACATATGTAGGATTATGAACTATTATCCGCAAAAAGAAAAAATAAATCACACTCTGCTTCGTTAGGAAAAATGGGGGGGGGAGTTCAAGAAAACCCTTCTCCTTATGCATTAGATCCGGTAATAAGACAAGTGATATAGACTCTGATATGAATTTTACACTGCAATTTTTCATTTGTAGTATCCCAGCCATTCTCTAATAAGTTTCCCCCTTTGCTTTATAATGTCAACCTTACTACTTCTAAAATTCGACAAAATATGAAATCTTCTAATCTTTCAGAACTTCTCTTTTTCTATTTTGTAATGTCGGTATTGCACATTTTAATGTAGCATTCATTCACTAACTTAATATATAAACTCGTCCATTTTGAAGTTGAATGAATTGGTCTAGGCATACAGGAACCACATCAATCCATCCTAAAAACTTGGTGGAACTGTACTCCAGTGACGATAAGTAGTCTGTTGGGGAAGTCTTCTGGAAAAATAGTTCAGCAACATAATGATTTAAAAAATATAAATATAAATTTCACACCTCCCACTCATCATGCTTTTTCAATATGAAATAATAATAATAATAATAATAATAATAATAATAATAATAATAATGATAATAATAATAATAATAATAATAAAGGTAGTCTTGCTCAAAACCACATATTATACCTCGTCCCTCCAACATCACACCTCAAAATGCATTATTCTTAACCCAATTACAGGGAAGAGAAGTTTTTTTGAGAATACTCCCAATAACAGACCCAGTACAGACAAAGTGGAGCTGTAGCTATTTTTCATGTCCCTCACCTAGCTATTTTTCCATAAATATCCCCTTAAGTATCGTCATAACAGAAGAGTTTAACCACCAAGTTCGGGTTGGACGGGTATGGTTTCTCTACGCCTAGGACAACAGAATATTGAACCACGAACGAAGATAGTGAGGCCTAAATTCTTGATTAAGGGACACCAAAGGGCTTTGCCTTTCCATCCTTGGATAGATGCAGAGGGGGTATATTTGGCATTCAAAATCAAATGGGAACTTTTACTAGGTACTGGGTGTTACAATGTAAATATATGTATAAGATCTTATAGAATCCTCATCAATTTTGATGTTGAAAATTAGCTTGTTTGGCCTCAAAATTATCAAGCCTCAAAATTAATGATATCTTTTCTTGCAATGAAGTGCATTTCTTACTTGGGGATTCTTGTCAAATGATTGTACCTTCAATTTTCAAAACTGTTACTAAAATTTAGATGGCAAAAGATCAAGATTACTAGTAGGATAACCATGTGCAAAGCATTCACATCCGAGATTCCACTTGCTCCATATGACTATGTATGGTGAGTTGGTGGAAAGACCATACGAACCTTAATCGCATCAATGTTTCTCTGTTTTATATCGGCTGGTGAATGAAGGGAAGTAAACTTTGCTAGCGAAGTCACAAAAGCATCTCGATGAGTCTTCATGGACATCACTGCTGTAACATGAATTGCATGACGGAAGCCTTCCAAACATTGCGCAATAACGATCATGTCGTGGCTTTGATCGAGAGGAACACTAAAGGCGGCAAGCATAGGAGCCCAGCATGCCTCAATCATGAATCTAAGTATAAACACATCGGTAGCAGCACAATAAACTGACCTACAAATTGCCAAACAAGTTAATACGCCAAAAGGGTTAGTGACAAGATGACACCTTCAACCATGATTACTTTCACAGGAGAAGAGCACAAGGAAGCAATTCAGAAAGACGACTATTTAATTAAGACACAAGAATCCTATACTTCCATTTGCAAAAATTCAGACCAATATGTATCTAGCTCCAACTATCTCAATAAGCACAATCCATGATCCACTTCATGTTGACATTCACCCGAGTCTAGTTTCTCCATTGTCTTGCCGCACTTCGTTTTGTGCTTTATTTATTTAGCTATCATTTTTACCTGTTAGCTCGGCATTCTTTGCATACAAATTGAAAGTAGCTTTCGATAAAGAAAATAATATGTTTTCACTTTCTACTGATAGAAAATTAAACATCTCCACATTCAGGTTTTAAATATGCTGTTGTGAACAAACTACATATATCAACGACTGATGAGGTATATGAAATGACAAAGCTACATTATAACACTAATAGAAAAATCAAAATGATTAGGAACTGGTCTCTATACGTGCGAGCTTATCCAAATAACGAGTTGATTAAAATAATGTACAATACATGAGACAGCTAGTAGGTTTATAACCACTTTTCATAATAAACAGATCAATGATCTTACTGGGATTTACGTGCTTTCTCTTGAAATTGTTCTTGCATGTGTCGCATAAGATCTTCGCTGGTATGCTTTTCTTCACCTCTCTTCTGCACCACAATATTCAATATACTGTCCAGGTTTAAGATCTTGGTCGAATTAACAGAATGCCTTTGATGAAGGGCCAAATCATCTTCTTTCATTTTAATCTCATTTCTTGATATTCGTTCAAACAATGATCTCAGGTACTCCTCTGGTAAATCTTTTCCATCATCTATGCCACGATTGTTTCTTATAAAATCATCAGCTGACATCTGCAAAGGTGAAGAAATACTCGGGTATTAGCAAATCTTTCAGGTCCATTTTGTTTATGAAGAATGAGATGAACGCATGTAAACTGCATGGATATACCTTATTCTTCACCATAGGGTTGTGAGCATCAGTATTTAGCATTATAACAGAGTAGGCAAGAACATAGGCTGTATCAGCACTTATGAATGCCTTTGGATTGCATTTGCAATAACGTTCAGCAAACTTTTCCATAATTCGATCAATCTTCTGTGCCTCACCAGGCAACCTAAAGCCCCGTAGAAAGGTCCTGATAGCCTCATCAAAATCCATACCTTGAAAATCAAAGGAATCCACATATGCATGCATTACTTTCAGCGACGAATCTTCCCTTTCCCCCAGATAATCACCAATCAAAGTTTTGTTCAAACCAGAAGCATTTTTTAAGAAATCTGCTATTTCTTCAGGTGAACTGCCCACTTTATTCACATTGATCAAGAATTCAATGCCCTTTTTAGGTTTCCGATTAAAAAGTGCTATACCTTCCTGCCATTGATCTTACATTAGATTACTGAGAAAATGCCAGCTCGAACACATTCAAAGATGGAATTGCTTCAAGGCTCTCAGTGGAAAATACTTACCTGAAGTTCAAGCTTGTAAGCACGGCGCTGCTCAATTGTTAAAGCATCTGAAGCTTCACTGGAGGCTTCAGAATGAATATCTGATCCATCAGCAAGCTCATGTTCAGTAGCAACCCCATTTTCCATGGGCAGATTTTTCATTTCAGAACTGTATTCAACCACATCAGATATCTTTGCAGAATGAGGATCAGGAATGCGCAATTGTTTGTCCATCCAATCTCCCATTGACTTTAAAATAGCCACTAAGCACTTCATAGCCTCAAGTTTCATGGTTGCCTCCTGAGAAAGTGTGAGTGTAGTAGCAACACCAGGTGGAACACCTTGAGTAGTTTTCAGAAGTCCATTGACCATTCTGTGTAAGGATTTAGAACAACGGAACACAATGCAAACGCTTGAGTTTTAAAATTGAGCAAGCCAAATATTATACTTATCAGGGTAATGTATAAATAATTCAATGTGCCAATACATCTGATACAGAATCCGGCATGATTTAAGTTTGTCAATTCTGCCACTAAACAAATTGCAGAAAGCTAACTAAAAAGCACTAGAAAGAATATACCTCTCGAATATGTTAGATGAATTGACATCGCAATCGTAGTTAATGAATATATCTACCAAGATCTGTGAATCAACACAGAGCCTTTCGAGAAACCGCAGTACAATCATTTTCTGATGAAAATTAGGTTGAGCAACATTCTCTAGAACTCTGAGAACAATCATAGGAAAAAAGACACCAATCTCTGCCTTCAATCCAGCTCTAAATCTTGACACAAGGCTAATGAGAATTGAGCAAGAGAGCTGAAAAACAATCACAAGGGTTGATGCACTGTTCTTCAATAGCGACAGGCATAAATACTGTTCAATGGCACCCAAAAATCTGTGCCAACAAGAAAAGAGAAATAGAGGTAATATGTATGACAGAAAATTCTAAGCCAAACCAAAACGAGACCAATTATAATAAGCAGAAAATAGAAGGGATAAAAGTGCATCTAAAGGCAAAAGTTATGAAGTTGTTAACAGGATTGTTCAAACTCCCAGCCCAACCCCAAATTTTGGGAAATAGTTGTGTTGGTCAATATATTACGTGTAACATGTCGTCAAATTCTTTGTAATTTTCGTAAATAGATGCATAATCTAATGATGATAATAATCATGTGCTAGAAAGTCACTCAATTTTTTCTTTCCGATTTAACACTTCCTAAAACACTGGGCAGGAGTGGACTGTGATCACTCACTATGAATGTTGATAACTTAATATGCCAAGGGCACATTGGATTTACATTTGCATAATTGCATTAGTTGTTCTTTAACTTGGGCGGAACAAAGGAACTAGTTCTAACAGTCTTCTGAGCATGTGCAATGTGCAGGCAAGTCAAAATCAATTTGCAGTTAACTGAAGGAGAAATAACACTTCTTAAAGAAGAAAACCCACTTCAGTTGCAGAAATTTATTGTTAGAACACAAATGATGCATCTAACAGAATATGTCGACAGGCTATGAAAAAGACGTGGCTGATTACTGATTGTGTTTATAAGTTTGTTTCATGTACTAACTAATAGCTAATGCTCCAAGCAATATGTACTGCACTCAATTCTAAAATTCAGTGCAATGCAACTCGGGGAATGTGCCATAAACCCTAAACTCCTAACCACATTTGATCATAACTCAAAGGTCTTGAAAAACTTTCAAACAGGGAAAAAAACTTGATCATGATACCATCCCAGTTTTAACAACAAAGAAGACAACAAAGCATAGGTGAAGTACCTTTTACTAGTTCTAAATACAGATCCTGCGTTCTCCAATAATATCTTGAGCAACTCCAAGGCAATAATCTTCCCTCGCATTAACTGTGGATCTGACAACGCATCTTTTGGAGGGGTTTTCATTGATAGCTTACAAAGAGCTCGAAACACCAAAAAAGCATCCCTTCTAAGTTTATTCCCGATTTGAACCTCTATGTCATCGTCTCTCTCTCCCTCCCCGTCTACCAATTCTCCTTTCCTTCCCTCCAATGCAGTCTTGTACATACTAATCTCCCAATACTTAGCATCCAACATATCCTTATCTGTAGAATCCAATATATCAGCTGGATTTGTTGACTCCATAGTCGACATTTTCGTTTCAAATGCCCCATCATGCACCCCACCAACACCCACATTGGATGCTACGGGTGAGCCGGGATTCATAACCCCATCCACTCCCTGCATAATCTTACTGATAAACCCTTGAACAAACATTGTCATCGTCCCGTCACCATCTTCTTCCTTCTCTGTCGGTTCCATCAGTTCTGCCACTACGATTGGATGCATCGGCTCCGTTGATGAATCTGCCTCCATCCTCCTAAACACAATCACAAGCATCTGTATCAATGATGCCTTGGCCGTCGTCTGATTAACCACATTCTTACTTTCCAAAAAAATATCATAACAGGTTCTCACGATCTGCAACAAACTATCACCATGTATCCTCATCGACGTCGACGTCACCGCAGATAAAATCGTCTTCAAAACCAACAATTCTACTCCTTCATCACCTAATTCACGACACCTACAAACCGAGTCGATCAATTTCGCTAACAACTTCGCATCCGGTCCACCGGTGGAATCCGCTTCGCCACGTAAGCAACCATGAGCTATCAGTTTCTGTATACAATCCAGCGCTGGCTCTGCGATCTTAAGAGTTTCCGAACCGCAGGCATTAATAATGGGGGATAATATGAATTCCGATTCCGCTAGGGTTAGTTCATTCGTTCCGGAATCATGCAGGACGCCGGGAGACGATGATTGTGATGGCAAGTCGACGCCTGATTGATTCTCCTCAGAGGAAGGGGTGGAAGGGGTCGGCGGGGAGATAGGAGACACGGGAGGTCGGTTTTCCGATGAGGTAATGCGATTAAGTACCGATTTAGACTGACGAATAAGCTTGTAGTGTTTGCGCCATGAACCGTTTTTGATGATTTTTTCTAGCGCCGGGACTAGGATGTTGTTGATGAGACGGGATTCGGCTTCCGAAGAAGCCATCCCCCGGCGTTCTCCGGTTAGATCTGGGCGTGATATGGTTGATTATGGTGCATGAGTTGAAGTGGATCGTTGGTAGATGATGGTGGTTAGCGGTGGTGATTCCGTCGGAGCGTGGCGGTTTGAGGCGGAGAGGGCGGTGAGCTTGGATCGCGTACTCCGTTGTACTTTTTTGATTTTGTGAAAGCGAAGTTTATTATTAAAATATTGTTTGAATAACTGAAATTACCAAAATAACCTTAAAGTTGACTGCATTGGGCGGCGTTTGAGTGCATTCCAAGTATCCGCATAATTGTTTGATCATCGACAAGTAGCACGGTTCCTTTTGCTATACAAAATAATAACTCGTTTCGAATTACTTATAAAAATAATTTATTAATTTTTTTTTTGTAGTACTGGTAATAAATACTTTTGACTATTTGGATAAATAATTTATACCGGTGACAAATCGGTAATAAGAAATTTTTGAAGAAATTAAACCCTTTTGACTTATAATAAGTTGATAAATGATTTTGTAGAATAGTATAAGTTGTTTCAAATAAGCAATCCTAAACGCCCCTAAATATTAGGTTTTTAGATTATTTTTTAATGATTATCAATTTGAGTCATGTAAGGTTATTGAAGGATTTTCTTGGTTGTTTTTCAGGGTCTCTTAGACTAGTCGATGTGCGTGCAAGCTGATCTGGATATCCATAATTAACGGAAAAAAATACGTGTCAGATTGATCTGGTTAATATATGGGTGGGCTAAAATGCATTCTTATATATTGCTAAAATGCATCTTTATCTACTGATTTTCTCTTCATATACATCAACATAAAGACTTATATTCTACATTCTCAATTAATGATTTTACTTGATTCTGACATATAAAAAAAAGTGCATATAGCATCACTATAAATGTATTTAAACAATTTAATTTAACAGTATTTTTAGATGTTTATTTATAATTTTTCTAAAATAGAGAACTGAAAAGTTAAATTTTTTAAATAGAATTACATTTCAACCCCTTATAGATTATCTGTTTTAAAAATTTTAGAGAATCTGTTGAAAATGCTCTAATGTTTACAATTTGAAAAATCTCAACCTAATACAACCTAACCCAACCTGAACTTGTTTACCGACAAAAATGCATATTGTACCAAGTCCCTGCTAATTTCATTACTGGGTGATAATTGGCAGGTGTCAAAATGATATATTTTCAACACAAGTAGGGAATCGTTTTCAACAAAAAACACAAGGGTGGTGCCTGATTGGTTTGAGCTTGGCTCCAAATGTCAAAAGTACTAGGAGGTCCCAGGTTCAAATCTAAGGAGGAATAAAAATCCTTTTGTGGCCACGGAGGTTCAAATGCAGTGGGTTAGATATCCAGATTAATCAAAAAAAAATTGGACGTATTTTCTCAAATAAGAATTAAAGGCAGACATTTTTTCAAATGAGACTCGACATGTTTTTTAAATAAAACCTAAACTGGGCAAACTTTTTCACATAACGATAAAGAAGGGGGCGAGGACTTTTTGGAATGCATTTTGGGATTTCTTGTTCACAACGCTGTTGTAGATGAAAATAAAAGGCAATCATCTAAAGCAGGCTGCACGGTGCTTGTTTTACGTTCGACAGATCATGAGGATGTAAACACCAATCTGTACAAATTTTGTGAGTCATGTGTTTGAAGGAGCATATCGCGAATGGGCACCAGTGGAAGTGGTCGAGCTCCACCTCGCGTACAAGATCATGTATGGTGTGCAACGGCTAAAAGCATATGTCCTGACCTTTCTTTTCAAACAGTTCTGTTTTTCCCATGTATAAATACTTTGAAGAAAACTGATTTTTAATTATGGAACTTTAAACTCAAATGTTTATCCGGTAAGCGTTTATCGATAAGAGTCAACACTATAATTTATTTTGATGCGTAAGATTTTAGTACATCAACAACATATCAAATGTAACAATTTACTAGATAAGAGTTTATCTGAGTAAGAGTTGTCATCCTCACTTACCGGGTAAGACTCTCCATCATTCTCATCACTCTTATTCTGTAAGATTTTTGGCTCTTCTCATCTTCATCTGATAAGAAAATTTATCTGATAAACACTTATCAAGCAAGTGTTTAGTAAACGGCCCTTAAGTTGTTTTACCTAGCTTTGGATTGCTAGTTGAAATAGAGATTCAAAAAAGAATCGACATGATCCAATCATAATCTATACGGGATTTCCAAAAATATTAAGTAAAAGCCGACCCCAAGGAACCGAAGAATTACAGATGAATTTACAAAAAGAATTTAATTCTGTAAATAGAAAACTTAACATTGCTATCACACAAATTAAAAAGCCATATGAAAACCCTAATATTCTTGCAGAAAGTTTTCTACTAAATGCCATAGTTAAAGTATATGATAATGTTAAATTGCAAACCGTAATTAAAAAAAAATATTAATAAAATTTTTGTAAAAAGATTTAAAAGAGAACTGTAAAAACTGGGTCAGGCAGGGAGCCGAATTTGAGATAGGTCGTCCGGTTTTGAGAGGACCTATTTGGGACCAGCACAGCTTGGGACCAATTCTTGATCATCTCTAATTGGGAGTATGACCATCAGCAACTGATATCACACTTTCTATATTCATTGAGTTTCTTGTGTTAATCTAATGGTAAGAATAAACAGAATGTTGGTGCATTTCGACATTTACAGCCGACCTGTAATATTTTGAAAAGTATGAGTTACAAAGTCAATGATACATAAATCTGAACTACAGTTGGATTATTGTTATTGATAACTAGAAGGGTATTCGTGCAATGCAGCGAGATACATCTTGATTTCAATGTTTCGTTTTATATTGTGGGTCAATCGATGCTATAATGCAATTTTATGTGGTTTTAAGAAAATGAAAAAGTTTTTATTTTTGAATGAAACATAAATTTTAAGATATTATAAAAAGAATTGAAAAAAATAATCGGTATTAGTATCAAATTAACTGTTTAAAAGTTATTGGTTTTGTATAATTTTTTTTAATTCAATTTTTTATTATAATTTAATTGAAGTTTAATAACGAGCTAATTTATTTTTGGTTTAATATAATAATTTTTTTAAGATAATACTTAAGTATTATTTTAGAACTCAATAATTATCTTAATTATATTTTAGATTTTTTATATTTAAAATGATGTTTATCATGTATTTGATTGTATTTATCTGCAATTATTACACAAATTCAAACATGAAGCTTTAATAAGAAGTGTTCATGCATATTCTACTTGTAATATTGAATTTTAAGTAATATGTATCAATAAACAGTACTTTAAGCATAAAAAAAATGTTTTTAAGAGTTTTCTCTATCATATATGTCGTATATTGATGTATACTTTTCATATTTTTATCAAACACAAGAGTTTCGTTAAATAAGAAAAAGATGGAAAAATAAATGCAATATAAATAATTTGTCTTTGAAATTTTGTATTGTTGTTGTTAAAAAATTACATTATAATTTTATTTATATAATGTTTATTTAAACAAATTAGATGTAAAACAGGTATTGTATTCATAAATTTATATGTTTTGGGTTTACAATGAATATTATTTTAGGGGTTGTTTATCAAACGCTTACAGGGTATGTGCTTACCGAACGCGTCATCCCCACTTACCTAATCAAATAACATTCTCGGTTATCAAAATGGATTGTTGGTAAGCAATATTTACTCAATAAACACTTCCGAGAATAAGTTTTCTCCATCACTTAATTACGAGGTAAGAGTCGCGGTCCTTGTTATGCCTCTTACTAGGTAAGATTCTAGGTCTTTGTCACGTTCACCCAAAAGGTAAGTGACACCTAATAAACGATTACCCAGTAAACATTTATCTGATAAGCGTTTTGCAAACAGCTATATTTTTGTCTTTTTTATGTTATATATTTTTCAACATCAATTTTCACTAATTTTTATATATTGCCTATTTTTATTTAAATATTAATTTCATGTAACAAAATGAGATAACTATGTGCTTTACTTATTAATTTATGGATATTTAGAATAGAATTCAAATTTGATCCCTCAACTATGTCATTTTCAACAAAATTGGTCCTTAATCTCCATTTATTATAAATTTGTATGCAAAGTTATGATCTATCTTACAAATCGACTCCTTGGACACCCCAAAAATACGATGAGGTGTTCCGATCGTCTATTTACTTTCATTGTTAATTCCTATTAAATGAGGGGTAATTTGATTTTTTTTTAATTCTTTGATTTTTTTTTTAATAAAATAAAAGTAAAAACATGCATTCTACCATTGTCGAATCAAAACCAATACCACTGCATGGCGCCCGTGGAGCAGATAGTGAGCTCTGCTTAAACAAAAAGTATTTAAACCTCTGATGAGAAAGTCGTAGGTGAAAGCACATTTGAGTTGCTTCTTTGCGTTGCTTCGTTGAGAAAAAAAATATTTAAAAGACCCTTCACTCGTTTTCTTCCCTGACAGCCTGAGCCACTTGGTTTCACTGCGAGCACTAAGCTCTACGACACCACCCTCCGTAGCATGTATGTTTGCATCGAAACAGTATGATTTTGATTGGAGAATGATTTTGTTTGATGAACATTTGAGAATCTCTAGCAGTAACAAACTTACTGTCACACCCCATCTCATAATTGCATAAAACATACATATTTCATATAACATGAAATACAAATAATGCACACTGGTCCCAAATATACACATTCTTACTTGTGAAAGTAACTACAAAAGTTTTCTCACAAATTACATGACTTTGAATATAACAAATTCCCGGTTCATGCATTTCACAGCGTCCAAAAAATTCACGTTCATTGCACAGACAGATGTAAAGTTATAACACTTCAATTTACATATTTTCCTTCTCTTTACCTTCTGGATGTGTCTGACCTGTAATTCACACTTTTTGAAACAAAATGAGTGTCAGATCATAAGGTCTAGTGAGTTATCCCTTGATAGTTATTACAAGATGAAAATCACCAAAACAATTTTGGAAAATAAAATATAATAACAATTATCACATCAAACCTCATTTTTGTCGCACCATACAGATGAGACTACAAACTCATCACATCACAAGGATGTGATAATCCCCCCTTCATCGCATCAAGAAAATGCGATAACACATCTTGTCGCACCACAAGGATGCGATCACACCAACTTGTCGCATCAACCAAATGCGATGAACACAACTCATCGCACCAAGCAGATGCGATAAACCTCCCTTGTCACACCACATTGACGCAATAACTCATTTTGTCGCATCACACTGATGCAATAAAACCAACTCATCGCATCAGACTAATGCAAATATGCGATAACATCAACTCATATGAGCAAAAACTCATTTTTAACAAACCATTGAGTATGCCCCATTTATCCCAATATACACATCTTCTGATTATGTCATCCTTATTTCAAATATATACCTCTCATGATTATGCCACCTTATTCCGTACAATTGATAATACAATAACAAAAACCAATTATGCTAACAAATAGCAAATGGTGGTGTCCGAAAACACCCAAATTTGAAACCCATACGGTTCCTTATAGAAAACATTTCAGATAAAGCTTTTGAAATAAAAACTCACCTTGAATCACAATTAGATGGAAGACTTTAAATCAACAACAAATTCAGATAATAAACACGTAATTCTTCTTCCTTTTCTTCTGTTTGCTCGAACCCAGGAACAAAATATCTTGATTTCTTCTTATCTATCAAAACAAACTAAAAGGAAAAAAGAAACACACAAACATATACATTTATCCAAAAGAGGAGGTAGGTTTAAAAGTTATAAACCAAAAATCTAAAACACACCCCTCAACTTTTCACAACTTTTCAAAAACAACCCCAAACTTCTAAACCAATGAACCCGGTTATAACACTTACAGATGCTACAAATAATTTTTGATTTTGCTTGATGAAAGTTTATGACCAAGAAGAAGGTGTTAGAGAAAGGGGCAACCAGCGAAAGCGAAATGCAGGTTAACATGCGGTGGGTCGTCTGTGAAGGGAAATTGGGGAAAGGATGAGGTGGGACTTGTTCTTATGCATCATGAGAATATGTATTAGTTCATTTTGATACCATGAAACTCGTACCATTCTTTTAATTTCACCCATTTTAACTTGTTAGCTAATTCAACTCAAATTGACTCGTCTTCATATAACTGTAGAAATAGTTAAAATTCAGGCAAAATGGCAAATACTTAAATAAAATTTTACCCATAATTATGATAGCTAACCATAAAAATCCCAAAAAGGTAAAACATCTCTTCAGTTATATTTTAATTAAACCCGCCACTCAAAATAGAAAAAGTCAACCTCTTTCATCTCATCCATTATGTGGTGGCAAAGATGAATGTTCAGCTTTGCATGGCACTGATCCTGAACTCACCCTACTTGGCCTATGCAACAGCTCCCTAGCGAGCTCTTGCAGGTCATCAGTGCCGCCCTGTGATGGTGGCAAGTCCGTCAAAGATCTGGTGGCACTACGACTCACGAATTGACGGTCGGGATCCATCTGCCTTCTTGTTGGTTGCATAGTCCACGAAGGTGGTGCTACCATTGGTTCAAGCAGTGATGACAAATCATAGGCACCAAGGACCGATGAGGCGGTTGTAAGGTCGTTGATGGTTAAACCTGGTGGCGGAACCGATGAATGAGGTGGCGGAGGTGGCGGAGGAGTTGGACCCTCTAGGCTTGCTAGGTGTGCTTGGAAATACGCCAGTTCCGCTTGTAAATTCACCACCTGACTCAAAGAAATTTCTTTTAGCTACTTTATATCATGTTTTGAGAGAATAATATATGTTATTGTCATAATCTTTTACATAGTGAATTTTCTATGAACTGGTGTGTTTTCTAAGAAGTAACGAGTCATTTTTGGTATAAATTTTTTTATCAGATTATGTATGATTTTTACACCGAACATCATAAGGGTACACATCTAATACTATATAACTCAACAAGATCCTTAGATACAACAGTAATTTTAATTGGGAAGTTACAGTATTATTTGCATTCAGGCATTAATGTAAGTGGTAAATTAATAACAGTTATTGAATATATGAAAAATAATTTACTGAATTCACTTTTTCATTACTATATATGTTCTAAAAATAAAAAAGTAACAGAGAAAAACAACTTGGTTCAAGACAGTGAATGAAAATAGAATGAAACTGACATAAAAATAAAATATGAATAAATCTGCATTCTCCATACCATACTTTAACCTAAAATGAAAATTTGGGCTTCTAGAGAATGAACACATTATATTATATATTCAATCAGGTTCTTTTATCTTTAATTTCATTAATTACTACATAATACTTTTAACCAAACAGCCCTTAATTGGATTTCTAGTCATTCCTTCACATAGGAGTTGTTTGTTTACCTCTTAATAGTTTCATTAAAAGGCAGCATCTAAATAGTTAAGAGGTGATCTTGTTTGGCAAAAAAAATGTCTCTTAATGGTTATAGAACTCTCTGAATGATTTTGTATCTTGGGTATCCCTTAACCATTCAACGCCTTAATTTTATTGTAAACAATTACCAAACAATTAGATTTCATTTTCTTACTATATCATGAGAGTCTCTTAATCATTCCGACTACTTAATCATTCTACATCAAACCATTCAACAACTGTCAAACAGCTCCATAATTTTTTTTACTCTACATAACATATATTTTCATTAAAAATTTTATTTTAATTAATATATTTTTAAATGACACATTTAAGGTATTTTAAAAATATTATTTCAAATAAATATCTTCTCAAATTATAAACCTTAAATTTACATATTTTTAAATTATAAATCTTTAATTTTACATTTTGGAAGTATATTTCATATAATGACAAATACATAAAATACAATTCTGTTAGATGAATTTCTTTTTTTGTCCCTTTCCTTATCTCATCTTTATTTATAGATTTTTTTAAATTTGTATTTTACAATAAAAAATATAAATTGCATCTAAAAATGGATAAAAAAAACAATTCACAAAAATTTTCCTTTTTTTTAACCTAGATATCCAACACGCTATGTGAGTCGACTAATTTTAAAGTGACCACCTGCTTTGCTGGTAATCTAGAATCACCGCATTTGAACCTCCATGACGACAAAGGGATTTTTATTCCTTCTTGGATTTGAACCTGAGACCTCCAGACACTTTTGACCTTTAGAGTCAAGCTCAAACCAATCAGGCACCACGCTCTTGTGGTTAATAATTTGTTAGAGCATCTCCAACAACTATGTTATAATAGAAAAATTAATGATTTTTATGAGAGTTTTGTCGTCCAATATATATGTTATATTGTATGATAAAATAGGAAAAAAAAAAAAAACTTTAAATTCTAATAAAATCAGGTTTATAAAACATTAGAAATCTCTAAATGTTCTAATAGACTACTTTATATGACTTAAGTTTGTAAGACTAAACATTTATGTATCTCATGTAAGAGTGTTGCAATAAGTACTCATAATATTTTTGGACTAATTAAATGATTTTTAGAATATATTTAAAATAAATGTCATATTAATAAAACATTTTATTAAGACAGTTAATCATTCATAATGTCTTATAAATCTGATTTTGTTGTAGTGACAATTATATATATATTATGGGTAAGATTTTTTGTTAACCAAGAATATGATGTTAACTTTATGAACTTATTGGACCAATAAGATTTATTGTTTAATAGAGGTTACTTCAAATATTTGATTTAATGATAAAGAGCAAATAAGTAATTTTTATATGTAAGTTACTTTTATTGTATTTAATGAGATGTTACAAATTTTTATATGTAAGTTAATTTTATGGTATTTAACGATGTTCATAGGTGTTCATAAAAATGTCTTCATAACCATAAGATATCCATAAGAATGTACTCATATGTGTTCATAAGAATATGTTCATAACCATAAGAAGTTCATAAGATCGTGTTCATAACTATATGGTGTTCATATGTGTTTAATAAGATTTTTCATAGGTATTCATATGTCTTGATCTTTTTTAAAAATATCTCTGTTCTAGAATGTTCACCAACTATTTTTGTTCAAATTTTCATTTATTACAAATATGTCATGATTTAATCCATAAATTTCAAAGATTGAAGGTTAAGATTAGTTCACATAGTTAACACCAATTATTGGGTTAACAAAAAAACTTGCCCCTATATATATGTATGTATGTATGTATGTATGTATGTATGTATGTATGTATGTATGTATGTATGTATGTATGTATGTATGTATGTATGTATGTATGTATGTATGT